CAATATGCGTTTTTGCTGCCTGTTGCAGCGCTCTAGCGCTGCACGGCAAAAACGCATAAAAAAAACACTCAGCGGTACTACGGCAATTTGATCATTACCAAACATTTCTTCCCAATCCCATCCGTTAATTCACTCGAAGTTTTTGGACCTCAAAAAGTGGATAAATTTATGACAACAATAGCAGTATGATTTGAATTTACTGGAATATAGAAAATTATTTGATTAAAAGACTTTCCAGCAATTTTTGAAAAATCACATGATTAAATACTATTATTTACTAGCTAGCTAGATAGCGTAAACCACTAGCAGTGAAATAATTTTATTTCAAAATTATTTCAAAATAAAATAAGTGTATGTAAAGGCTAGTTAGCACTCTAAAGATTTTTAGTATTGCCGTATTTGTAAAATATAGTAAGAGCATGGCGGATTGATAAATACCACAGTTCGATGACGAGACGAACAGTACAAATATTTTACGATTCATTTATTTGTTTTAAGGGTAAAATCATGCTTGCACATGCCAAGAATTCAAAATCATCACCAATTTACTTATAAGCAAACCTAGCGAAAAAACCACGCAGCCCTTTTAGCGAATAGTTTCTGTTGGGACATGCTAGTAATTAATTTACTTCCGTGTGCTTCCACCTGCAGTACAAAGTGAATTATGGAGCGGTTCTATTGCATACGTGTGAATCTGCATGTTTACATAATGAGTATTTGCCAATAGATGCACTCCTGAGGGCTTGTACCTGGATCTCAACAACAATTTATAGAAAAGTACATGGTAAAAAGTCCGCAAGCATAAAACGACTACTTGCATGTGGATGTGTCAAATTCTTTTTGGCTGGAAAGCGTTTCTGGAAACCATCTGAGCTAGGAAGCCGAAATTTTTTGAATATGTGGCGATGTGTGCGAATTTGAACGATTTCACTTCAGCACGGAATCTTGCAAAAACGAATGATGATCGTACCAACAAGCCTGATGCGCGCCGCAGTTGATTTGACATTGCATAAATGTGCAAGGACTCATTCTTTGGCCCAGGGCCGCTTGTTTAATTGACCTCTACTATTTCAGTCGTTCGTGCCAAAATATGTGGATGCATCGAGGACCATCTGGGCGATACGCGACGGTCATCGTCCCTTGGATGTTCCAGTGTGTGGCTTCAGTGGCAGAGCTTGTCCGCTCCCGTTCATACAGCGATATCTTGGAATTGTTATCAGTGGTGGCGTGCTGGTCACTATTTCATCGTTCATCATTGTTGCTGTCCTTACCTTGATTGCTTGGTAAGAATGGAACTGAGCTTCTCAAGAGTCAAAGGCATGTACGATGTATTTGGAAATGGGGGAAACGCTGCGCAGGTCTAAAAATAAGCGCATGTTCCTAAATTTTTCCAAGGCAGGTTGTTACGTTCACTAACGGCGCATATCTGCCAGTTCTTCAGAAAGCTTTCTTTCCAACTTTGTTATAAATTTCGCAAAATAAAGCGTTCATTGTGCCCTGGCATGTTCTGCAGCGTTCGTCAACCCTCAAATCCTGGAAAAGAGAAATACGCTAGATGATTCAACTAATTTAAGCTCTTTTGAGTAGGCGCTCTGCAAATTTCATGTGCTCCTTTTTTTCGAGGACAGTGGAACGAATTTTTCATTACAACTGAAAATTTCATACTTTTAGCTTGAATTTTAGTTATTCAAAGTTACAAAGTTACTCAAAATTTTAGTTACTCAAAATGTTACTCAAAGTTACTCAAAGGCCTCTAATTTGCCAAAAACGCTTTTACATCAGTAAAGGGCAGTTTTTATGCGTCTTTGCATGTATGCAAATTGCAAAAACGCATATTGGGAAGACGCTGTCTCTGTATGTGTGTCTGTGTGTTTACACTTTTGTCACCCATTTTCAATTCAAGAACCAGAAAGGCCATAAGGCTGAAATTTTGGAAGTATATGCCCATACCATGTGCGACCTCCCCTCCCTCCCCCGTTTTAATTTCATCTCCCGCGAACACCTGGGTGCTGCGTGCGGATGCTTCAAAAAAATATGCAAATTTTTCGAAGGAGAAGGGATCTCGTGAATAATACCACACAAGCTAAGAAGCTGAAAATTTGTGCGGTTATTTTCCCTATTCATGTGCTAGCTAAAGGTTTCAGATTCAGCCTCAGTTGTACGTGGTGCTCACGTAAGGGCGCATGAAAGTTCCTGCGAGAAAATTACTGGCTCGGGAATCAGAAAAGCTAGAAAGCTGAAATTAAAAAAATACTTGTTACCCGCGGGTAGGGGGAAGCTGAATTTAAATTTGCGGGGTAAAACGTGGGTGGGGAACGTTCCCCTACATTTTCAGTTTCCTAGTTTTTGTGGTTCCCGAGTTGAAAGTTGCGGACAAGTTGCTGCCGACACACACACACACACGGCGAATGTCCCCTTTACAAGTACAAATTGAGTATTTCAAATTCAGCCTTGAGGTATGCGTAGTTGTCAAGTGAGGGCACTTAAAAGTCTGAAAGTTCCTGCGAGAAAATTACTGGCTCGGGAACCAGAAAAGCTTTTTGGCACTTACTTTATGCAAAATTTATGGTGATTTATGCTAGAGACCGCAGAAGATATGTTAAAGTGACAGCCATTCAAGCAGTTAATGACCTGAGTACTTCAAGTCCGGTGCAAAAACAAATGATCGCTCGGGCCCGCCCGGTACGTTCCAGCCTTGGTCATTAAATTCTTTATGACTTCTCTCAGAATGATAAATTCTTCCGCCTGGTTCAAAAATCTACAGTTTTTTTCACAGGTGCTTTTATGTTTGTAACAGCTTTGTTAGGTTATTTCCAGGTCTCGAATGAAGGTTCAAAGGATGGCAATGAAACAGTGGCAAATTCCATTCAACAACCTAAAAAAGCAAATCCAAGGGGTTTGTTTGTATCTCTCTCAGGATGCTTTTACAATATTTTAGAAAACTAATGTTCTATTCCACTTTTTGAGAGTGTGAACCAGTAAAAGACGAACGGAGCGTCACTGATTGCCAATTGCAGGCTGCGCAAAGCAGTGTACGATCGTTGCTCAGCAATGCAAGTGGCTCAGTGATCACTAGACTCACCAACGAAAGCGCTGTAGCGGCGCTTACGAACGTCTACTTCCTCAACAATGAAACGGTTTTCACCAGGAAACATGCTGGGCGAGCGACAATCCAGAAGAAGGAAATCAGTGAAATGTTGAGTGTGAGTAGAGTATGGCGAGGTCATGAGGCGCGAGCGCACACGTTTCTTCCTTCTTCAAAATTCTCCTTGTATTTTTATTTTTTTTTTTCTTTTAAATGAGGAAATTACAAAAATTTGCCAAATGGAATTTCTTAAGGTATAATCCATACAAATTATATTGGTTTCATAAAAGTATCATTTCACTAAGATTATTCGAATTTGTTAAATGGAAATCCGATATTACCTTTAATTTTGTCTCACACAACCGAGCACAACACTCCCAGACTATTTTCTTTCGAATTGACGTGGCCAGTTTATATGTACCCCCTATAACGCGTTCCAACATCTTTTATAGGGTTGTACGACACCTACAGATTATAGCGAATGATCACCCTCTCATAGCAAATTTGCTATTGTGGACATGGACATGATAGTTCCTGTCTATACTGCCCATTCCTTCACGACAAATTACTTCATGCAATCACTGTTTTATAGCCTTCTTCATCACAGCCTAAATTTTGTTTCACTGTTTTGACAGCATTGCGCAAATGTGCTTTATTGCCTGCTGGTTAGCAGTGCTATAGAACGATTCGATGCATCGAAGACATCAACGAAGCTGTGAAATTTGCACAAATCATTTTATTCCTTCTAGCCTTCAACTAAAGCACACTTCCATGACTGAACAGCAATAGTTTTCAATTTCTTCCAATGCTACCCCGTCCTTATTATCAGTTGATTGGCCAAAAGCATGTCACCCGCTTTTCAGCTTCATTCATGGATCGATTCCCAGTTCATTACTTCGTGTGCTACTTCCTTCACCAACACTGTTATTAAGTAAATATCAACTGCAATTGATAACTAACTGAGCTTTCGAGTATTTCAAAATCTTAACGTAGTTATCGAATGTTTCAATTTCAAAATTTAGCATAGATGTCCGCCCACATCCTCCTTGAAAAATTCAGATTGCAGTTTGTAACTCTGGTCTTAATTCTATTTCAAGACAAGCACAAAACGACTTTAAGATGAGGCAAATGGAACATGCAAATATTAATCGCTTCATTGGCCTATGCGTCGATTGTCCGCAATATGTGTCTGTATGGAAGTTTTGCTCTCGAGGTAGTTTGAATGTAAGCCATTTTGCTTGTTTCTTTTTTTTTCAGTTTTGAAATCTTATGCAAAACAGTGAAAGAGAAGCGCTAAAACTACCCGGTATGCTCACTACGTCATTTTGCTTCTTGCTAGCAAAGCCTTTGCAGGATGTAATCAAAAATAAACCATTGGCAATGGACGCTTTTTTTATGGCCTGTCTAATAAAAGATATTGCTATGGTCAGTTTTTTAAACATTTCTATGCGTTTTTGCAGATTGTTTCATGCTTCTGTAAGATCGCTTGGAATTCCAGTAGTTAGAATTTAAGGCATACTGGTCTTCGAAGTTCAGGGAATTAACTGTGCAGCTACGTAGTACTTGGTCAGAGAGCATCCTCTTTCAGCTTTCTATTTTTTCTGATCCTCGAATTGGCAATTTTCTCGCCAAAAATTTTTGCGAAGCCGTATGTGAGAACCACGCACATTTGGGGGCTGAATTTGAAATATATTTAAGTTGTATTCGGGCTGCGAATTCTCTTTAAAATTCACGAGTTAGCCAATTTTTGGCCAAAAACTTCCATAACGCCGCACATGAGAACCGTACACATCGAGGGGCTGAATTCGATAAATTTAATTCGTACATGCGCTGGGAACATTCCCTGAAAATTCCAGCTTCCTGGCTTCTTTGGCTCCCAAGCTAGCCATTTTCCTGCCAAAAGATTTCACGTTACCATACGTGATAAATACGCACTCTTGGAAGGCTGAATTTGATAAATTTTTATTGTTCTTGCGCTGGGAAAATCCTCAGGAAATTTCTGCCTCCCAGCTTTCCTGTTTTTCAAGTTAGTGATTGCACTAGGAACCGTCGCGGGGCCATACGCTGGTACCACGCACACCTAGGAGTTAAATTTGAAATCTTTGAGTTTCAAAGTGTATGGGGGGCATACTTCAAAATTTCAGCTTTCTAGCTTTTCTGGTTCTCGAATTAGCGATTTTCCCATCAAAACTTCAACGCTCTCGTACGCGAGGCCATGCGTGAGGGCTGGTGCCGCGGTCCTGGAGTAGCACTTAGCCGGGAAACTCAAGCAAAATTTTGGGCCGGAGCTTGCTTGGTTGCCGAATTGAAATACCCGGATAGACAGACAGACAGACACACACACACACGGGGTGGGGGTCGTAACAATATGCGTTTTTGAATTTTATATAAGCAAAAACGCATAATAAGAGATTTCTATCGCACTGAAACTGTAGTGTAATGACTAACGAGTTTTTGCTAAGAATTTTTTATGACAGCAGTGTCTTGAGCAGGTTTTTGATTCCGGAAACATCGGGGAAGAAGCACTGTTGGTTTCTGAGCTGGAAAATCCTAAATCCAGGCTGGAACGCACCAGACGGGCCGGTGCAATCAAGTGTTTTTGCCCTATTTCGTGTTGTAGCAAGATCGCAAGGAATCATAGTAGCTAGAATTTGTGACATGTGACCCTCGAAGTTCAGGAAAGTAATTGTGCAGTTATGTGATGTGCCAATTGCAGATGTCAGCTTCAGTGACCTGGAAAACGGAAAGTTAATAGTGCGTGAAGACCCCACCAGAAGAGTTGAATTTGAAATTTTTTAGTTGCGCATGAATAGAGAGCATTTCCTAAAGTTTTAGCTTTCTAGTTTTTCCTGAGTTAGCAATTTCCGAATGCGACATGGCATTTTACGCTGCTCATTTTTCGCTTCTCCCTTTCTCATGTCTACGCCAGTATTTGTAAATGTTCTACAAATAGTATCTAGGGTCTTGATGCAATACACAACTCGATTCTGGGATATCATGGTCATTTAACATCAAAAAATTGCCTGCTCGACGATCGCTGGCTCACAAAAATCAGTGATTATGGCTTGCGCACCATTCGAATGGCTGATAAACGCGAAAAAAAAGGTAGCACTTCTGCATTTATCCTATCTACAATAAAAGTAGCGCTGACTGATGTGTGTCAAATGCGTACAGACATACCTCCTAAAATCCAAAAGTTTGCACCTCGGTATCTTCGTAACAGAGCTGCGGTATCCCATTTTTTTTTGGAATGAAACCTAAAGAGCAAGTTATAATGCAGTATTTAGCCAACTAAAGCAACTTAGTCAAATGCATGGCCTCTCACTGTTCTCCTTTCCCGCAGCAGACGTTTGAAAAGCAAGAAAAATCTAAATGCAAAAAACTGAATGAGTATGAGCTCTAATCAGATTGGATAAAAATCTAACAAATAAATTGATTCACAAAAATTTGATCTGGGCCAAAAAGTGCCGAAATAAAATGAAACTGCGTTAAAGGTAGCGAGTAAACTTTAAACAAAGGCTGGAACGCACCAGGCGAGCCGGTGCGATCATGCGTTTTTGCATCAAAACT